GAGGTAAAGAATGACATCCTTTCTAATTAACACCCTAACAAATTTTCTTGTTGGATTCCAATTCTGGGTATCAACCATATAATGTAGCTTCTCAAAAGGGCAGGATTATTTTGCGATGTGTTAACAGGAGCATAGAATCAATATCACAGAAGGGAATTGTCCCACTCCACCCTGCTTTGGCTAGGCTACTTCTGAGAGATGGTATCCAATTGTGGACCCTGTACAGGTAGTCCTCGACTTAACAGCAGTTAATTTAGTGACCATTCAAAGTTGCAACGCCAGTGAAAAAAGTCACTTATAACCATTTTGCACACTTATGACCTTTTAGCGTCCCCACGATCATGTGATTTACTTTCGGATGTCTGACAGCGGCTTCATATTTATGACGGCTGCAGTGTCCTGGGTCATGCGATCACTTTTGCGACCTTCTGACGAGCAAAGTCGATGGGGAAGCCAGGTTCTGTGCATGTGAACGTGTGAACGTCTGTGCTCCATTTGTGTGAGCAGCCAGCTTGTGTGCCCACCACTCGGACAGAACTATCCCCTCTCCCCCCTCGCTGCTGGCTGTGCCATAGCATTCCTTCTTAATACAGGTAGTCCTCAATTTGTTAAGTGATTTTTGCCCCATTTTATGACCTTTCTTGCCCCATTTATTAAGTGAATCACTGTAGTTGTTAATCACGGTTGTTAAGTGAATCTGGCTTCCCCATTGACTTTGCTTCTCAGAGGGTCGCCAAAGGGGATCACATGACTCCGGGACACCGCAATGGTTACAAATATGAACCCGTTGCCAAGCATCTGAATTTTGATCACCTGACCCTGAGGATGCTGCAACGGTTATCAGTGTGAAAAATGATCCTAAGTCACTTTTTTTGGTGCCATCGTGACTTCTAACTGTCACTAAATGAACTGTTGTAACTTGAGGACTATCTCTACTCTTTTTTGGCCACTGTTGTTGAGGATGGTGTTGCTTAGCAATGAAGAGGACATTTGCTCTCCAATGGAGGTTGGTATTTTTTGAAGTTTTCTGAAGCTCATAAGAAAAACAAAAGCATCAGCATAAAAGTAGGAACTGAGAAAGATAAGGGTCACTGTTTTGTATCGGTCCACTTTGATTAAGTGAGGTTGCATTCCCTGGGCAGACATAAACCTGCCTTTCTTGCTGCACCTTCAAACTATCCCAAGTCTACCTGAGCGGGGGTTCCTCCAAGCCCTGTATAGATATCTCCATCGTTTCCAAATCCAGTGGTCCACTGTATGTCAGCAAAGTTCAGCATGATGAAAGATATTTCTCCATCGGTGGCCAGGATAGCTTGAAAAGTATTGACCTGCAATAAAAAAAGAAATGATATTTTAAGGCATGACTATCCTTGCTTTTGTTTCTAAAGTAAAGCCATCTTGGAGTCGAATTCAAGTCCTAGGACAGTGATGGCAAACCTTTTAGAGACCAAGTGCCCAAACTGCAACCCAAAACCCACTTATGCATCGTTGGGTGCCGGGTGGGTGTGGCCCATTGGCTGGGTGTGGCCTATTGGCTGGGTGTGGCCCATTGGGTGGGCGTGGCTGCGGTGGTAATGGCAGACTGGGTGGGATTAAAAAGTTCAATCAATCAATTCCAATTCTGCGCGTGCCCATAGAGAAGGCTCTGAGTGCCGCCTTTGGCACCCGTGCCATAAGTTTACCACCACTGTCCTAGGGACTTACCTGAACATATCCCTGGGGTTTCTTGATCCCCTAAAAAAAGGTTATGCCATTCCTTTTGTTTGCTATATACTGTCCAACGTCCAGTCACATCCATGTACTAAGCAGAGCTAATTCTACAGATAATTCTTGATTTACCACTGTTTAATGATAGCTTGAAGCAGGAGTCTTCAAACTTGGCCCTTTTATGACCTGCGGACTTCAACTCCCAGAATTCCTCAGCCAGCATGCCTGGCTGAGTCATTCTGGGAGTTGAAGTCCACAAGTCATAAAAGAGCCAAATTTGAAGACCCCTGGTTTGAAGTTATGGTGGCCTCAGAGAAAGTGACTTACAACCTGTCCTTGAACTTGGGACCATCGCACAGCCCCTGTGGTCGTGCAATCACAATTTGGGACTTGGCAACTGTATTTAAGATGGTTGCAGCATCTTGTGGTCATGTGATCGCAATTTGCAACCTTCCCAGCTGGCTTCCGACAAAGTCAATCTGGGAAGCTGGATTCACTTAGCAACCATGTAATTCACTTAATGACTGTGATAAAAAATGGTAGTAAATTGGATCTGGTTAAGTGATGACTCACTTTACGGCTGTATCAACTTACGATAGAAAGTCTGGTTTCAATTGTGGCTGTTAAGTAGAGAGTTACCTCTGCTTGACTTTCTAGATCAGCAAAATTGGCTATAACTTTTTTTGCAGGATGATAGAGATGCCATCTAGTGGCAACATTGAACATTTTAGGTTGAGGATTATATAGATCAGGAGTCCACAATCCCCAGGCTGTGGCCCACTACCAGGCCTTAGCTCAGTGTTTCTCAACCTTGACAATTTTAAGGCATGTGGACTTCAACTCCCAGAATTCCACAGCCAGCATTGCTGGCTGTGGAATTCTGGGAGTTGAAGTCCACATGCCTTAAAATTGTCAAGGTTGAGAAACACTGCCTTAGCTGGTTTGAAACTGCTCGAACCCACCGTTCACACAAATTGAGTTGTGCATACTTGTGCATGTGCCTACCACTCACACAGAACCATCTCTCCCCCCCTCCCTGATGGGCTGCTAAGCCGGAAAGGTTGGGGTTCGCTGATATAGATGATCAGTTTAGTGTTTTCTTTCCTTCCCTGATAAAAAATATGGTCTTCCCCACAACGTCAACCCACTTCTCAAGTATTAGGACCATTTAAACCATTGCTGCACATTCAGTGACCTGAGAAAGTTTTTGTTGACACTGTATAGCTGCCTTCTTTGCTACCAGCAGTCTTCAGAATGTCCATTGAATTAAAAGTAGAATAATAGTTTTAAGGGAGGGGGGGACTGTGATGGCTTTAAAATTTGATTTAATTCGGTTTTATCGGGGGGGGGGGAAATGTATTTATGTTTTGTTTTAAATATGTTGTGCGCCGCCCTGAGTCCCGTCGGGAGAAGGGCGGCATATAAATTAAATTAAATAAATAAATAAATAAATAAATAAATAAATAAATAAATAAATGGCTCAGCAGTTAAACACGCTGAGATTGTCAGCTGAAAAAACTGACAGCCTGGGTTCGAGACCCAAGTGCCTTGCAACTGGGTGAGCTCCTGTTCCTTGCTCCGGCTCCTACCCACCTAACAGTTGGAACACAGGCAAATGCGAGTAGATAAATAGGTACCACTTTGGTGGGAAGGTAACAGTGCTCTGTGCACCTCTGGCATCTATAGCCATGCTGGCCACATGACTACGGAAGTGTCTTCAGACAACGCTGGCTCCCTCGGCTAAGACATGGAGATGAGCACCGTGCCCTAGAGTTGGGCATCTCTCAGAGAATCTCTTCCCTTTAATAGTTTTAAAATTGAATAAAATAAAATAAAATAAAGTAATAGAATAAGAAAGAATGGAAGGGATAAAGGACTCAACTTATGAGTATGTATAAGAGAAACAAAGGTGTTCACTCTGCCCATTTTTCTTTCATTCTCATCACATTCCCCAAATCCCATACATGTTTCTTAGTAGAAAAATCTACATGCCTGTGAACTGGACGTTCTTCCAGCCAGGTGCATATTTTGTTAGGGTTTTTTTTTCCATTAGAATTATATCCTCCTCGCCTTAAATTTGTATCCTGCATTTTTCCTTACAGAAATTCAGTGTCTGTAAGGTAAGTGTCAGGTTTGCCATTTTTGGCTTGGTGCCTTGCTGGTGAGGGGGGCATGGGCGGGAGAAAAAATGGGCAATAAACCTGTATTGGTATGTGCTGTGAAATTTGTCCGAAATGGTATAGGGTTTCCTGCCTGAGCAGGGGGTTGGACGAGATGACCTTCAAGGTCCCTTCCAACTTTACTATTATTATTATTATTATTATTAAATAGGGAGGGGGGGGAGATGACAGCTTGAGGAAGAACAGAGAGGTTCTGAATCAGTTTGTGCCGGCACTCAAGGTCATATATCCTGGGAAGGAATGTGGAATATCCACAAACATCTTTCTCAGAACACCTAGGACCTAGCTGAAGATGAACTGGTCATGGGGAGGGGGGAGGGCTGGCATGAGGGGAAACATTTTGTATCCTTTTTAGCGTGGGAAATTTAGTTCTAGCCTGACTTTACTGCAGCCAACATCTTTTAGTAAAAGAACCTATCACTTGTATCAAGTGGAGTCGAGGGTCTTTCTTTCCTAAGGGATTGGGCTGGTGCAGGTCTGACAGTATTGAGAGAGAAGGACAGTCTTAAAGTCATCTGGGGGGGGGGTCTCTATGGCTGAAGATGGCTTTAAATTTGGATCTTGGTGCTCCTTGTCCAACACTTTCACCTCCATCTCCATGGCTCTTGGACTGAGAAAGAAAGACTGACCCAAAGCCACACAGTGAGTTTCTGTGATGGGGTGGGGGCTGTAGTTCAGCACTTTTACCTCTACACTACATTTACTCTCAGCCAATAAGCAGCAGCCACTGGAGGAGGAGAAATGCTCTAGATTACCATTACTGTGTGAGACCTACCTTATTTGAAACAGATCCATAGTAGCCTACTTTGTCCCAGGTAGCGATAAACATCCAGACAGGTGTGAAGGAAACATCAGGGTGATACCGACTGAGGTCTGCAGCAAACCGACTAAGCAGCACCGAGTCTTTGGTCTGTCTCCAGGAGATCGTCCCACTGACTCTATTGTCAACATCAGCCCAAAAGGGAGCAACAAAGGGTACTCCATTATCCAGAGGGAAAGCATTAGGAGTGTATTCTGAGACATACTTTCCAAAAGAGATAACCCCATTGTTGTTGACCTGGAGAAATATAAAGCAAGGTGGTATGCTGTGTTCATTTGACATACTCAATATTATTATGAAATTAGGCAATTTTCTAGAATCTTAAAAGAGATTAAGATATAAACAAAGCAATCTGGGTTAATATAAGATGCTCTTGCACACACACACACACACAATATATATATATATATATATATATATATATATATATATATATATATATATATATATATATATATATATATATATATATATATATATATATATATATGAGAATTAATTACGCTAAAAATCCGACTCTTGGGAATCATAGTAAACGAATAAAACCGAGCACCAAGAAAAGTAAAGTATAAAAGTTTAAAAATTTACTGAGCCGAGCTTTCGTCAGAACCCGTCTGACAACATCAGGGCGTTAAAACAGCAGTCTGGGAGAAACCCTTATAAAGTGTGTGTGTCGATTGCTTGCATCCGGCTTCTGCTACGCGTCATCGGACCCAGCTGCTCCTGCCGTGCTAGAGGCAAGGTGCGACTGCTGCCTGTGGATGGCTCTAGTTTGAGCTGATACAGGCAAAAGATTTCTTTCTCCCATATTTGGGTTGACAGGGTGCATCAAAAAGCACTCAAGGTAACTATCCTCCCCTGTCTCTTCCCTCCCTGACACAGCTGACAAAGTGGGAAAGAGCCTGTGGCCTAGAGGTTAACACAGCTGCTTAACATGCAGGCAGCCCAGGTTCGAATCTCAGAAGGGTATGTTTGGCTGATGAGAGCTAAAAAAAAAGTTCGAAATAGCTATCCATTCTCCCTTAATTCTTTGTTAGCAATCCAAATTTTGAAAAAAAACCCCATACATACATATATATATAGCTTTAGGAGCCTGCGGCAGGGGGGATAGATAACAGCATATGCACAAAGGGGGAGAGTGGAGGAAGGGAAGTAAGTAACGGAGCAGCAGCCCCAAATAACATCAAGAAAACAGCCAATACACAGTTTAACCAATTAGGACCATTGAGTGGACCGATGACGAGGTCCAGGAGCTGTGCACAAAAACTGGCCAATACTATAAAGGAGACTCCCATCGACCTGTTTTAAGCCCTGATGATGTCGGTAGTTGACCGACGAAAGCTTGGCATTAGATTAAACGTTTTTAGTTTAAAAAATGTTCCTGGTGTTCGCGTTTATTTGTTTTTATAATATATACATATATATCTATATCTATATTTATGTGTGTAATATGTGTGTGTGTGTGTGTGTGTGTGTATATATATATATATATATATATATATATATATATATATATATATATATATATATATGAGGGCACTTGGGATACTGGACTCGGATCCATGGCCCAAAGTGAGTGTGGGGGAGTGGCTAGTATGTATACCAACAGTAACAACTCCAGGAAGGAGAGGAAGGACAAGGAGGGGAGAGAGAGAAGTTGTGGAACTGGAGTGCAAACAAGGGGAGGCGGGACATTTAAGGCAATTATGGTCAGTCAGGATGAATGGCCCTATCACGCGGTCAATGTGTAAGAAACTAGGTTAGCAAGGTTTATAAGAGATCTTTCTCCACCCCCAATGCTTTACTCTGAAGACGCTGGCAGTGGATCAACGAAAGCTAAGTTTGTTTTAACATTGTAAACAGTTGCTTTTATTGTTTTAAATTTTTAAACAATAAACAGCTGGTTTATATTTATCCCGGAGTTCGAAGATTTTGTAGTATTGTGTAGTATTGAATCTATCTATCTATCTATCTATCTATCTATCTATCTATCTATCTATCTATCTATCTATCTATCTATCTAT